GTACATTTAGTAGCCTAAATCTAAGGGACTGTGGTTGTAACAAGTCTTGGCAGGTTTGTTACTATTTATCTTCTTGTGGAAGCTTTAAACGTTTTCCTCTCAAACAATGGCATTAGCACCTATTCTAAAAAGCACTGGTCACTTGCCTCAGCAATTAGTGACAAGAAAAAGACCTTTTTTTTTAATTTATTAAGGAAATAGATTTTTGTGTAGCCAACTACCAAAAGAAGAATGGTTTGTTGTATAAAGAAATGCAGTTTTGCAATATTTGTACTCAAATCATCATCAAAATAAAGTTACTATGGTGATTTGAAAACTAGGATTCAAGAACTATTATGTAAGGATTGCATTCATTTGGTACTTGGGTTGCTTTAAACGAGGCTTTAATAAAATCTATTGTAATTGCTCCAATTAAAGGAGGGTAGTACCAACTTTGAGATTTCCTATTGCTGGATCTGAATGCTTTGAGGATGGCTGGATTGGTATTGTGGAACACAGGCAGAAGTAATAGTTCAAAAATAATTAAACTTGACAGCCAAAGTAGATGTTTTCATTTGAAGAAGACGCACATTTCTGTCACATGGAGATGTTTGTCAATGAGTTTTTCAACAAAACTGTTTATCTTTTCTTTGGTTTGCTTTCTGGATGATTAATACAGTAGCACTGGCAGGTTTTTTTTGCTTACTTTCATCTAGTACAGATGAAGACAAAGCAATTCTAGATGTCCAATGAAGATGTCTAATTATAAAGCATTTTCTAAATTCTGGAAAGTAAATTCTTAGTTGGGGCCAAGATTTTCGTTTATATTTTTACATAATGTACATTTCACATTCTTAGAGTCTTGGGAAGATAATTTTGTTTTAAAAATCATAGAATCATAGAATCATTAAGGTTGGAAAAGACCTCTAAGATCATCGAGTCCAACCGTCAACCCAACACCACCATGCCCACTAAATCATGTCCCTAAGCGCCTCATCTACACGTCTTTTAAATACTTCCAGGGATGGTGACTCAACCACTTCCCTGGGCAGCCTGTTCCAAGGCCTGACCACTCTTTCAGTGAAGAAGTTTTTCCTAATGTCCAGTCTAACCCTCCCCTGGCGCAACTTGAGGCCATTTCCTCTCGTCCTATCGCTTGTTACTTGGGAGAAGAGACCGACCCCCCCCTCGCTACAACCTCCTTTCAGGTAGTTGTAGAGCGCGATGAGGTCTCCCCTCAGCCTCCTCTTCTCCAGGCTAAACAGTCCCAGTTCCCTCAGCCGCTCCTCATAAGACTTGTTCTCCAGACCCTTCACCAGCTTCGTTGTTGCCCTTCTCTGGACACGCTCCAGCACCTCAATGTCCTTCTTGTAGTGATAAATGAAAACATTCATTTAAGTGGTGTTTCATTTGAACACAAAAGGAGAAGCAGACTTTTAAAAATGTATAAAGTTTATTCAAGAACTCAGTTTTCAGTTAATTCTTGCAATTTCCTTTTGCATAAAGCTATATAGACAAATGTCAATACTAAAGGACTGTGAAATGGAAACAAAGAGGGTTGTGTTTTACTACCATTTTGATATTTTTACTTTTCCACTGTGTAACAATTCCCAACCAGTTACAAGAACTGCTGTAAATAGTTCTTTTTGAGGGAAAAAAAAAATGCAAACAATACAGTTCACTATGCTGGGTAGTGGTTTTTTTTTTTTCTCCATTTGGATAACATTTTTGAAAATAAACTGGAGAAGTGCGTACTCTCACTTTCCTGTGCCATAATTTTCTGTTAATCTGTAACTATTTACTGAAGTTTGATTCAAGTAGAAACAATAGTTTTGAAGTATTAAAGAGAGATGGAAAGACATTCACATGCAGATACCAGAAATGATAATTTAGTGATGTATGAACTATATTGAGATTAACAATTCAGATTGTAGCATCAGCTGATTACACTGTGGTAATTTTAGCAGAAACTTTGTTTCTCCACTGATCACAACTAAAAGAAAAAATCCCAAAAATGTTCTTCAGTGATAAGAAGTTGCTTTAAAAAACCTGCACAACTTATATAATGCAACTATATTTTCAAAGCAATTTTGTAGCATAATGAAAAGAAGAATGGAGTTCAAACAATGAAGAGGGGCAAGCTGGTGATTTGGATGATGGCAGAGCCGGGGATACAGCAGACCTGTTTAGTTTTCTGTACTACTCAGAATTCACCTGTGAACTGAGGCAAGTCCAAAAGGATTAGCTCCACAAGAAAGGCAGTAGTTATTGCAATGTCTAACTCAGGTGCCGTAACGCTTACTAGTTTTAGTAGCCAGGGAACTGCGCCCTGATTTTGCTAGCTGTATACCACAGCTTTGTAAAAATGTTAACTAAATGAGAGCAACTGCAATGCAAGAAGTTGCAACAGAAGTGGCCTCCAAATACCCAAGTAGTTCAGGGGTTAGGTTAGGTTACTCTTGTGATACATGGAAAGCCTGGATTCAGCCCCTTGCTCTGTATTAACTCGCAAATCACATTTGAAAATGTGCCTCCAATACAAAAGCTTAAAATGCATAACTTAAAATGCATTTTTCCATTGCCAGCACAATAGGCAGATTGTAACTAATGTACTTATTTACAATATCTGACTAACATGTAGGGATTAGGTTAGGTGAATGAGTAGTTTGCTACCACATGGGGGTGGGCATATGTTCCTTGATGTCCAAAACACAGGTATGATGACAATTCAAATGTCTTTGAAACTAGATAGCGGCTGAATTCTCTAAGGACTTGAAGTCCTGGTTTTGCTGTTGTACTACATCTATAAAAGACTACACGTTACAGCCCTCCAGGTTACTTGTAGCAGCAGTTTTTAGGTATATCTGGCACATGCAATGGAATTTGCTGTCCTTTATTTTAATACTTGTACTTTCTATCCAATGAATAAGCAAAGTCTGCTCATAATTTGGTTTCCAAACCTTGCACATGGAGCTGGAACCACCTAAACTGACTTTAAAGGAATGCTGAAGACAGGTTTCTGTTAAAGCCTGCCTCAGCTGAGGGCTTAGTTGTAGAGAGATAGTTAAGAGATAAAGAGAGAGATAGTTGAGAGATACAGTTGTAGAGTATTTCTTCTCTTTAGGGCCAACAGCCTTGGACTCACTCCTGAAGGTAGATTTCTAAGCCCAGGAAAAGGGAATTTCAGAAATGGAAGCTGTGTGGTTTCCTACTTTTCCCTTAGGCAATATGTTAGCAATCGGAGCGCTCTCCAAATAACATGGGAGACCTTGATTCACTTGCCTCCCTTGCCTGAAGCTCAGCTTAAGCATGTCTCCCACTTTTCCTATTGAAGCTCTTCTAGTTTGCATTAATTGCTGAGGGCCCCACCCTGCTAATGAAGGGCAATTCCAGTATTGTACATTAGACTGGTTGGATAAATTACAAAGGCAGCCCTTGAGGCAGGGACTATCCAGGGCTTTACCACAATAATAGCGGATACTGTTAACTGGGGGCTTCTTCTCAACTCAGTCTTTTGTGGGTATCTGGGATTATAACAGTGTGTGGGGTTTCTTCACTTGTCCACCAGAGCTGAAGTAGCAAGTTTAAAAAATGGCATAGTCTTAGTCATTCTTTTGTTCTGATTCTCCTGCTTTAAGGATGATGTTTCTTTTCTCTAAAGGATGGACATTCTGTGGTTTAATAACGATTATGGGTTAAAATCTTTCTGTAAATAGACACCAAGGCACTACGTAACAGCAGCTCCTATGTGGGTAATAATATCATCAAGTGTATACAAAACAGCATCAAAGGAGTTAAAAACCCATGAGGTTTAAACAACAGGCTATTAAATACAAATCCTGCTACCCAGAGGTGTGCAAACAATTTATTTGTGTTCAGTGCAACACTGTACAGGGGAATCAGTCTGCGGTTGTGTTTCTCTACAAGGTCAATAAATGGTTTGTCAACTCTGGTGAGCATTTACTTTGTATCCAAAGCCCTAATGTAAAAAATAATAAAGAGTAGTTTTACTCTCTTCGTTTGTGATGGAGTCCCACTCTGACAGGATCAGAAATATCAGTCAACAGCTGCAGATGGAGATGAAATAGTCCTCTTAATTGAATCCTGTGGGCTGCAAAAAAGGATTTTTTTTTCCCACCGCCCAAACGTTTCCTTGTGTCAGACAATCTGGAGCCACATTAAGGATTTTTTTCTTTTTACTAGTCCAGCTGGCAGAGCAAATTGCCACGTTGAATTAGCATGTTCTAAAATATAAAAGGGTTTAAATGAGTACAACGGTACAGGCAATACAACAAACTATTGCTATTATAAAATATACTAATATATTTCTCTGTTGTACAGTGAACAGATTTGAGACACAGGGAGGTGTAAATGACTCCTGGAGCTTTTTGTATTAAGTTATTTTTATATAAATCTCAGAAATAAGCAAATCAGCATATATGTTGCTAAATTAAAATAGAAAGCTATTAGCAAATTAACACCTTTTACACAGAACTTATACAAATACCATATTTTTAATATCTTGTGTTATTGCAAGAACAAAATTGCATAGACCATTTGATGGCACTTTCTGAATTCCCCAAATAATGCTTTGTCTTAGCAAGCAGTTCAAGTAGTTCCCTCAATTTAATTTCATCCACTAATGCAGTAAGTGTTTACATGTAGTGAGAGAAAAAACCTACAGAGCTCAAAAATGTTAACAATGACATAATCATCTGACTGAATAATAGTTCAGCAAGGAAACATACTCCTTTAATTTTTTTTTATGCTTTCTGTAAGGCTGTTTTCAAAGTGTTACTGACAGAACATATAATTTGATTCAAGTCATTCTTCTGAAGTTGAATTATCATTTGTGCTCTTCTTCCCCTTTCACCCTGTAGTCCAGAATTGTAGACACAGATTTGTTTCCTAAACTGAAGTACTTTGTTTTTAAAATTCTGAAAATTCTGCTTTCAGTAATGCTCTTTAGCAATAATATAAAACTCAGACTAGCAAGGCAGTGTGCGGCCTTTTCTGGTGCCTCACTGGCAGACACGGCTGTATTCTTGGCAAGTGGAGCCTATGCCAGCCGCTGACAAGTAGAGCTTTCCGTCCGGACACACGCAAATTTCGTAAAGCCCCTGAGAAATACTGGATCCACCCCTTGCACCCTCAGGCAATTTGGGCAGTCGCACGGTTTCAGCATCGAGCAAAAGCTGCATGGGAGAAAGCAGGACAAATGGGCTTGTTAGAGATAATAACGCAATAGCGTGCCATAAACCAACCTGACTTCGTCTTGGCAGTGGTTTAAGAATAGTTTTCTACCCAGACTTGTTATATACAAAGCTGCTCTGAGGCCTAGGCTCTTGGCAGACACTGGAACACAGGAGAGGGATAAACTGGTGCTCACCCTCTTCCTCGGCAGAGACCTCATGAAGTTCAACAAGGCCAAATGCAAGGTCCTGCACCTGGGTCGGGGCAATCCCAAACATGGATACAGGCTGGGGGATGAAGGGATTGAGAGCAGCCCTGCAGAGAAGAACTTGGGGGTATTGGTGGATGAAAAACTGAGTACAAGCTGGCAATGTGCATTAGCAGCCCAGAAGGCCAACCGTATCCTGGGCTGCATCAAAAGGGTGCCCAGCAGGTCGAGGGAGGTTATTCTGCCCCTCTACTCTACTCTCATGAGACCCCACCTGGAGTCCTGCGTCCAGCTCTGGGGCACCCAGTATAAGAAAGACATGGACCTGCTTGAACGAGTCCAGAGGAAGGCCATGAAGATGATCAGAGGGCTGGAGCACCTCTCCTATGAAGACAGGCTGAGAGAGTTGGGGTTGTTCAGCCTGGAGAAGAGAAGGCTCTGGGGAGACCTTATTGCAGCCTTCTAGTACTTAAAGGCGGCCTACAGGAAAAATGGGGAGGGACTTTTTATCAGGGAATGTAGTGATTGGATGAGGGTTAACAGTTTTAAACTGAAAGAGGGTAGATTTAGATTGGATATTACAAAGAAATTCTTTACTGTGAGGGTGGTGAGACACTGGAACAGGTTGCCCAGAGAAGTTGTGAATGCCCCATCCCTGGCAGTGTTCAAGGTCAGGCTGGATGGGGCTTTGAGCAAGCTGGTCTAGTGGAAGGTGTCTCTGCCCATGGCAGGGGGGGTTAGAACTAAATGATCTTTAAGGTCACTTCCAACCCAAACCATTCTATGGTTCTATGATTCTATGATAAGAGATGGGGCCCCTGCCTGTACGCGGAACAGTGGGGCACGGGCGCTGCTGCTGCCGCTGGACCCAGGTCTGTCCTGGCCTGAGTGCTGAAGCTGCGCAGCCGTGCCAGCTGGTTACGGATGGACACACAGGTTGGTCTGGAGTTCCCCTGTGGAAGAACTGGCACTGTACAGCTTCACAGAGGGGATAAATAGGCTGCTGCATGTTGCATGCTGTTGCTGACTGGGCAGCTCTTAATGATGTCTGCAGAGCTTCATTCCTTAATGTAGCAATTCTGGGGCTGAGTGTCTACCTCTGGGCCAAGGACCCCACTGGGGTGCTAGTGGGGAGCTGAGCTCTATCAGAGTTTTATTAGAAAGCATTTCTCTACACTAGTACAATATTATGTTAATTGGTGGTATTATTTAATCTGACCCATAAATAAAAGTCTTATTATTGGCACCATTAGTTTTAATATCCTGTCTTCTAAAATCTGAGGAATTAAATTAACAGAACTTGAAAAAAGACTTGAAGTTATTAGTTATATTCAGACAGCAAGATCAACCATAGTTATGGAAACAGAAGGGTTTGTACTCACCACACCATCACTGCTGTGTAGTTTTATATCCATCTGGGAAAGCGCTTCAATATTCCCAGCTTGTGCTTTGATATTAATTCCTCGTGGGGCATCCATGCTCAAAGATCGAGTTGGTGATTCCAGCCTGAAAGCAGGAGCAGGAAATCTGACAGTAGCACATTCTCATATGTTCCTTTATTTTTGAAAAATAAGTAAATTTGAACAAGTACTTGAAGGATCTCGCCTGAAGTCATATAAAAGATGCAGCTTCTTTTTTCTTCAGGCAGATTTGAAAAAGAAGGTAGCTATTTAAAAACACCAAAGTACCCCAAATGAAAAATATAGATGAATTCGTAATACAAATGCAAAGTATTATTTCAGAGATAACTTCAGATTATTTTAGTATAGTGGTAATTTATTCTTTAAAACTGAAACCCATTTTTACATTCCTTAGTTTGAATTTATTTTCATTTTTGACTTAGTAAGATATTGAAATTAATACAATTAGTGCAGTCTGGAAGTTTTTTAATCAACAAGAGTTTTGACACTGCTATCAGTCAAACCAAGATTTCACTCAGTGTGCCTGTGTGTGTTTAACCGGATGGCATCTGAAACTTAAAACCCAGTAACTTCGTTTGAAATAAAAATTATGCAATGTAACAGAAAGTTGCAAACCCTATAGTGCCACAAGATGGCAGGAAGGTACTATATTAGCTAGTAATCACCTCGTCGGGTCAGCTGTGCAGGATTAATGATTTTTATTTTCCAAAGAGATAAGGCTTTCTTTCTTCAAAATTTGGTATCATTTCAATGATAAGTAGCAGGGATAGAAGTACTAACTAAAAGTCAGGAGAAGGCAAGAAAAAGCCCAAGCTCAGCAACAAGCTAGTGATCACATCGCTTCTTTTGACCATTACCTAGAACTGCTTCGTCTGGAGGCACTGGGAACACTGCAGGATCAGAGTTGGTACCTACTGAGTTTTGTCCTGAACATTGGCTCACCCTTCCTGAGGACACCAGCCTGAATTTTACACTATCAGCCAATATTAAACAGGTGAATATTAAGGCTGGAGAAAATGAATCAACTGGTGGTCCCAGTTTACTTTAGATGCATGTTACCTTCCCTATTCTGTATGTTCCCTGGACACATATAAAATAACGTGGACTTCATCGATAATGCAGAACTCAGACGTGCGTCCTCGTTCTCAGGTCTGCACATGCTCACCCACTGTGTCTTCCGGAAACATAGAGGGGGGCGGGGGGGTGCGTGCGCACGGGTACATGCACGCACTCCCAGCAGATGCTGCGCTGGCTCCACGCGTGCTCAGCAGCCACCCATCCGGATGAGCGGAGGACTCTGCCCCAGCAGGTCCGTTACTAGGTGTGCGTCAGTAAGTCTAGACGCTGACTGCCAATCTCATGCTAAAGGAATGAAACGATTTCACACGCAATCCTGATGTAGCTGTCTGATGGGTTTCATTTACTCAGACTGCTTCAGTTCTTCCTTTTTTTGCAGTTACTTCATTAAAACTAGAATTTAAAAGCAGTCAGTTTGTGTTTGTGAGAAACTTCAGTTGTATCTCAGAGTTTTGAAGAAGCTAAATCCAGCTGATATCTTAAAACTTAAACCCATGATATATGAGCACAGTCAAGCACAGTCACTGAAACTTCATTTTTTATCCCCAAATCTGAAAATAACTCAGGCAATATTGGCTTATCACTGCTGGCCAGAGGTAACAGGAGATTCTATCTTCTTTGATCTTCAAAGGTCTCTTCCAACCTAAACCATGCTATGACTCTATGTTTCTATGATCTGCCTCTCCCCGACATCTCCTGGGTTAGTCACCTTCAATTACTTTAAACTCCAGATTGATAATTTAAATTCCTAACAATGGATAACTGCATCATGGTTGCAAATTAGGACCATATCCGTGCCTTATCCCATGACTGAGATGGCACAAACTTCTGTCATGATCATGCTGAGTACAAGGGCACAAGTACAAGTCTGTTCTGCATCAGCCATCTAACATAATAATCTTCGTTAAGCAGCGTTTGTGATTTAACAACTCTTCTATGACTTTTTGGTTTAGATCCTTAGATTTACACTTTTATGAAATTGGAAATCAGTTTTTCCCTGAGTGATTTACATGGGAGGTCTGTTTCATGCGACTATTTTCCAATGCATATTTGTATACATTATATAATGAAAAATTAATCAAAGTTTGTATTTTTAATATTTAAAGTTTAATATATTTTCACAAGTCAGTGTCAAGGTAGTTGAATGCAACTGTTGCCTTAGTTTGTTTTAGCAAAAGCTATAAACATTGAAATAGATCGTGTTTTTCTGTAAAGTATTTAATCTATGTAAGTAAGCTATACGTAGGCATAAATTTTTATTTTTAAGCTCTATTGAATATTACAAGAAGGCAGACTGGGACAGATTTTTGAAAAGCATATCAGACCTGGCGTTTGAAAAGCAATCAAACACTGGAGAAATATTTCTTACTTTCTAGCCAAATTAATGCTAGCAAGAAGCCTACAGACTTCGGAAGCATTTACAGATTTATGATATGACTTACATATAATTTAAATTACATGGCAGAATTACATTTGCTATATTAATCACAATCCTAAATTTCTGCTGTTTATACAGGTCCTATTTCTAGATTAACTAAGGGTAGATTTACCTAAGTCATTGGAGCTTCCTGGCAATGTAAACTGCAGTGAAGCTTAAGCAGTGATTTTAAAGACTTCTGGAACTATTATGTGTGAGATTTTAGCAAAGGCAACAGTCAGTAACACTAACGATATATTTCTTCATACAGCATTCAAAGGTTCAGTGCCTCAAGTCTAGATGTAATAAAAGGGAAACAGACACTGAGTGTAGAAGTGACATGACTGAGTTGAACCTTGACTTTGAATGTCCCTTCTGAGTCCCCACTTGGTCCTGAAGACACCTGACTTCCTCAGCCCCTTAGACGACATTGACCTTAAAGTCACCTAAAATTCTTCTGTGGTCCTGGTCCTGAGGCACTTCCTGCTTGTTACTGGTGGGCAGGTTTGAACTTCTCCTGTATGCTTAAGGGTCTGGGGACCACAGAACTGCCCTAGCAAAAGAGGTGACTGATGGAGATCCTTGCATGAACTTAGGGTGTCTCAGAAAGATATGAATAGAGCACTGCAATTATTAACACTGGTGGTGTTTTAAATAGATATTAATAAAGCAAATTTTTTTTTATATATCAGTGAACAGATGACAGGAGGAAGTTGCTCTGCACTGTGAATGATTTGGTCAGTCATGAAGAAGATACACGACTGTATGCAGATAATGGCTGATAAGAAAGTTTCAGGATCTATTCCCTAGGCAATAAAAGGAGAAAGAGAGTAGGCTGGGCTGAGCAAAATGTTGATGTGCATCCTGCAAAAGTCTTGGCAAAACAAGAATTCAATTTGCTTGCAAATGCTGGAGGGTGAATGGACACTCAGAGGACAGAAGTTGATTGTCTTGGAGTTTTTGGTCCTTTTTTAGTGTTTGTTTGAATTCAGGCAGGAGAATGATGAAAGAACATATTGTTACCAGTCACTTTATCTTTTTTTAAAATTACAGGCGTATAAATTACATTACTCTGGACTAGCTGTTGCCTGACCCCGAAGACTGGATGCCCAGAACAATTGGAGCATGTTAGGCATTCTCCAGGAGAGCATACCTTTCAGGTTAATTTAATCCAAATGTAATCCTGTTCACGCACCCCAAACAGTTCCACAATGAGAACCATGGGGAGCTCAGGCAGTTGGGAGATTTCCCTCAAAAGCATGTTCCTAATGTTAAATTAAAACACTCATGTAGACATATCCACGGAACGTGAAGCAATGGAAACCATAACTAGGCTCACCTGCAGAGTAGGTATTTTGCCTTGTTCTCTTTCACCCTGACCCCTGCAGCCACCTAGAGGTTTGTTGGCAAAGTGCGGGGCAACTGCACTGTCTCGGCTAAGGAAGGGCAGGGAAGGGTGGGGGAGTAAGTGGTCCCTGCTAATATTTCATAGCTCTGTCATCTGCTGGATATTGGTCCTCCAGCAGTCCATTGCAACTAAAGCAACCGATTACAAAGAAGATAGTATTTTTATCGCTGCCTTCTTCCCTGTTGGTAAGATAGTTCCAGAGGTCAACTATACTGTCTTGGCTGGCTGCCAAGGAAATTTGGTGCTGAGGTGTGCAGGATAATTTATCAAGGACTGTGTGAAAGTTTTCTGAGGGAATCTGGACAGCATCCAGGCTCTGGATCTGAAACCGTCCCAGCAGGCTTGGAGATTCCCACCCTTTCCTATAAGCATGTTGCTAGCTCATGGAGATACCAGATGACCAGAAACTGCTTAGCTGGCTGTGTTTAGGGAGGATGTGCGAGGAGTGACAACCTGCTGCAGTTGTGGTAAAGAAGCAGCTGAGCTGAACCCTGACTTTGAATGTCCCTTCTCAGCCGGTGCATGCTGCAGGAATATTGATCTCTTCTTTCATCCTGTTCTGGCAGGAGATGGAAGGATACCTTGCTGATCTTCTAAGTACCACAATGCATTAGAAAGCTGGTTTTAGTACTGCAGAAAGAGTACCACACTCTCCCGGAGCCCAAGTTTCCTACCGCAATGTGGGATTGCTTGACTCTTAGAGTAGGACAGAGGAACCAGCTTGCTCTTGTGAATTTGGGGAATAGTTTATTCCTTCCTTCTGGCCACTTTTTGTCCTTTCCATATTATGAATCAGCATCTCTCCTGAATTCAATGGGTACAGAATTCCTGGGTATGACTTTACTTAAAAGTTCCCCAAATGTATGCATTTGTCTCAGCACCTACCTGAGGAAGACCAGGGTTACTGTAAGTGGACTGGACAGGTAGATGGACACTGCCTCTAAAATTGTGGTGCACCCAAATACCTGGTGTGCCCATACATACATACAGCTAACTCCCCTTTTTTTTTTTTTCCTTGCTTTTTGGTTAAAATAGCCTGATCAATTTTACCATACAGAGAAGATTTTACGAAATGTAAACCTGGCATTTTATGAAATGTAAATCTGTTAAAGGTATGGTAAAGAATTTAGCAGTATATAGTATATTATGTATTTGAGTATCAGTAAAAGAGAAACACCTATGT